ATTAGTGGAGCCATGCCTGTGCGACTCCACTAATTAGGTGGGTTGGCCCTTCATTGTCTCGTGTGCGGCCGCCCAGGCACGAACCTTAGAGGGAACTATCCGCAGACCATCTGAATGGAGCTAGTGGACCACAGTTTGAGAACCTCCGGAATAGAAAATGTTGGAGGTTTGGTAAAATATTTTCCGTTTTCCACCAAGTTAAAATTTTCTACATGAATCCCCAACCCCCTAACAGCTGTAACGTGCATCACTAGCATTTAGACCCAGTCCTTCAAACCTCGTTGGGCAGGGTGCTCGCAATTGGGAGTTAGTCCCACTGATGTAAATGGGACTACTCCCAGTAGTTAGTTTTGTAGGATTGGGCCTTTTATAATTCTTTTAACTGAACCTTGGCCTGTGGGAAAATGTTTGAATTACTTTTATTCATGGTTAGAAAAGACCTGCCATTTAAACTGGGCAAAACCTACTTTGTCTTTTACTGTATTGATTCGTATTTTTCTTGCAAAGCTGTTTCCAGTTATCTTTTTTGTGATTCTCTCACTTGTACTGATAGTCCTTGTGAACTCTAGAACTATGCTTCAGAAAAAAATTTCAAGGCTATATGAAGGAATGTAATAAGCTGGCATTCTTTTATGGTGTCTTGTGATGTATATAATTGACTTTACAAATATGAATACGTTTGTTACTAGTGAATAGAATAGTCTTTTTCTTGAAAAGAATGTGGGTTAAAATTAATTTAATGGAAACTCCTGTATAATTTGAAGCCTTACTAATTTAAAGAGCTGATATCTAGAGCTATTAATTAGTAAACTGAACATTGACTCATTGTTCACCCAGGGTGTATTGGGCTTATTTTTCTGAAAAAGCACCTTTATAATAAATATACCTAGTGTTTGGTTTGTGGATATTTGTTTTGAGACTGTGCCTGCCAAGTTGTACTTAAATTAATTTTTGCTATTGTATTTTCTGAGTTTTATCTATTGGGATATAAAACAAAGACTTATTTGAAGTTGGGAAGGCAACCAAATAAACTCTTGGCTGCACTTAGTTTTGATTCTGTTGCATCAGGTGAAGATTGCATTTGAAGGTGTGCTTTTATTTTGAATCTTCTATCAGAGCAGCCTACAGATTAAAAAAAAATAATTTTAAAAATACATCTGGAATTGAAGTCAATAGCATAGGCATTGTTGTTGGAATTCAGAGTTGCTCACTGCTATGAATCCAGCCCCGGGATCAGAAGTCATTACGTATTTGGGATCTGAAATAGAATGGGTAGATTCAGACCATTCCCTAATGGACAGGAGTCCACAGCATCTTTGACACCTGACAACTTAATTTGTAGAAGAAACTTAACTCTTCCTTTGCTTCAAATTGTCCCTCCACATCAGGACTAGGGCATATATAGGCAGTGTGGTGTGGGAAGAAGATTGTGCTAACACTTCCTGTGCTGTACTTGTTAAGTGGAGAGAGGACTTCAGTTACCAGTGCTGCGAATCTGACACCTTCCATGAACACTACAAATAAATTTACCATTTCCATGTTACATCCATCATCATAGGGGAAAAGGATTGTATTTCCAGTGGAGTTCATCAAGATGTTTCTCAGCTGATTTATTTACCAATATGAAAAAGCTATTTTGTGAGTTCAGGACAGAGTTCAGCACTGCTCTACTGCGTTATATCCGAATTCGTGTTATATCGGGTCGTGTTATATCGGGGTAGAGGTGTATAGCACTTTTTTGTTATGTCTTAGTGAGTACAGAAAGATTCATATACTCCCTATTCAGTGAACCAAAAAGATTTTTTGCCTTTATATATGTTTAAAATGTATTTTGTTCCATATATTGTCTCCCAGCCTGCCCATAAACACTGTTACTTTTCTAATTTCTTTTGTTGTGGTCATGAGCATACTTCTCATTTGCACCCAGATACCATAGTCACAACTGAGAGACTAGAAAAAATGTGCCTTATTGTTAGCTACACCACTTGTCTTAGGCCCCCAATTTACTTCCTATCACACACAAACCTGTTGGTTATACTTCTGTTTCCGTCAGATACTTACCGTAGCGTCGGACTCCTAGCATCAAAAATACAGAAGATAACATTTTCTATAAAGGCAATTTTATCCACATTCAAGAAAAGGGAGTCTTACATAATTTCAAGCATCTTCCTTTGCTATTTCATGTTGAGCCTCGTTTGTGGATTCTTATTACACATTAGGCCCATAGCATGTTGAGAACTGTGCTCATTAATACAAGGTCAAGCATCTTTCTATAGATCATGAACAAGCCCACAGAAGAGACCTAACTAACAACATGCTGAGTACTTGAATGTTATAACCTTGTTGGAAGAAAGTGCTCTGAATTTTTGTACTTTCCTGAAGATGTTTTATACATTAGCTGTTCCACTTGTTTGTGTTTGGTACAATTTTACTACACATCGAGTTTTTCTGTATTTAAATTCCTGCCTGTGAGGTTGGTAAGCAATGTTGTTTTCTCCTGCTCATTCTTTCAAAATATAGTGTTTTCTGGTAGATGATGCTGGATGGTGCAATTGCTTTGTGGGAGGGAACAAGGGGTAGAGGAGAGAGATGATGATTTGGTTGTTGCACAATATGATTGGTACAAGAACTAGATTAAATATCCACAATAATATAAACAAAGGTTGGAAAGAGGCAACAATGCCGCTTTGCCTCTAGTCTAGTGCGTGTAAGCATCCACCAAAATAACATATTGCACTCGGGTTTCTTTGTTTGTCTTTTCTCTCATGAAGCAGAGGAAAGCTTTCCTGGTACTGTCTGGACACTTTCTGCATTAGGATGCAATATGAAATTCCAAGTCATGATCAGGAGAGTTCAGATCAAAAATGTAAGCAGTGTATAATTATCTTGAAAAACCGTGAAAGTACAAGTCCAATATAATACTAACCAATCAAATGACAGTGATTTCTTGTCAGGCCTAACAAAGTTCTGTCACTTTACTATAGCATCATGTACTTCATAATCTTGTTAACCATGGAGCTGTGTAACCTGGTGGAGGCATAAAGGCAATAACAATAATACTATTTGTGACCAATGTTAAAATGTGACTTAACTGGCAAGAACAAACAGCTCAAAATAAGTAGGCATTGGTTGGCTGCTTGATCTAAATATATTACTCCAGCAACCAATGAGTGCTTGGATCAGTTGAATCCTTTCATTAGCTTCCAGAGCTTTGAACTCATCCCTGTGGTTTCCCATTGATTGCTCCCAAGCTGAAAATCTGGCCCTATTATAAATCCTTTTGAACTGCCACTGGTAGGGATTTAAATTGATTGCCTCATTATACCTGTCGGTAGCTCCTTTCTCACCCAAGTATGTGATAAACTAGAGAGTCTGGTAACTCTGGAGCCTAGCAAAGATGTGTCTTAAACTCTGTCATAATTTTGTGGTTTTAGCATAACTAGTAGTTCCAAGTCAGAAGAGGCGCTTAATCACTTTAAAGGGCATTGTTTACAAGTAAGGATCGAAATTCCCTGGCAGAATTGGAAAGAGAAGGTGGATGAGATAATATCTTTGATTGGACCAACTTCTGTTGGTGAGAGAGACTGACTTACAGAACTGAGCATTGTCAGCTAACACAGCGTCTGTCTGTCAGTGTAAGCATTATCTTGACTTACACAATAATCAGTTTCACCCCTAAATAATAAAAGAAAAAGGTAAGCTTGGAAACATCAGAGGAGTGATCATTTTTTTAAAAAGGAAGACTTTAACTATTTTTAATGTGTCCTGGAAAAAAATATACGTTTCTGCTTCTATTCTTGTGCACCTATGAAGTGTGTTTAGACAAGACGAGCACTTGAGTCATGCAGAATGCTACCGAAAACCATGCAAAAGGTTGCTTGGCACTGGATTTCATAAGACTCAAAACCTTGGCAATGTTCGTTTAAAGGTTGCTACAGGTCATAAGCGTGGGCCCAGATTCAAATGTTATCTGCTTGAAACATAGGTGAACCTTGGCAATTTCAGCAGAATTTCATTTTGAACTTTTGAGTTTATACTTGAAATCCAAAGTGAAACTTGTGTGATGGGGCCTTGATCCCACAATAACCAAAACTGAATAAAACGTTAGCGCGGACCACCCTTGTGAAGTGAAACTGCTGGTTTGTCCATGGTTTAGTGAATGCTGGTGCAGAAGATGCATGTGCGTTGCTTAATTAACGTAGAGTGATATTTTCTTGACATAGTAAAGATGTTGGCTGCTTTTGACATTTTAGCGCTTAGATGCAATTGCTTTCAGTGAATACTAACTATTACAGCAGCAGAGGCTCCTCCATCACAGCTGGCTATTGATGCAGGCATTAGCGGAGACAGCTTATGGTTTTGCTCTGTTCTGGAATTAGGTTGGCAGACAAACAGGTCTGGCTAAATTGACTTGACTGTTGGTGTGTATGTTCTAGATGCAGCTCACATCTTCTAAAGGGTCATCTTTGAAACATGACAAAGGTACTTTACAGGCACATTTAAGAGGAAAAAGTGAGTGTTTGGAGAAGCGTCTTGGCTTAAACTTAAAACAGACTGAAGGTCTCTGAGACGCATGTCCAGTTTATAAACAGTTTTGATACCAAGGATATGTAATTAAATGTTACATTAGTTTGTGTTGCACTCTGGCTTTACTTAGAGGCGATGTTTGTTCTTAGATCAGGCATGCTGAGAAATATGTGTTGAAATTGCTTTCTCTCCTTTTAAACTTAGTTCAGTATGTTTTGGTGATTTTTCTCAAATATTTGTTTTTGAAATCACAAAAGAGGAATAAACAGAATGAACATATCATTTAATGTGAAAATCCTTTAAATGCATAATATTATTTAGTGTTTGTCTCTTTCATCAATATTGGATGTGTAAAGTATGGGTGTAGTGTTTCATAGTGTATATACATAGAGCAGGTGTAAGTTTTCTGAGAAGATTTAGTAAATATTCAATATTTGATTTTTTTTCCCCTTTCCCCACCTTATTATCCTCAGCTGGAAAAGAAGCAGGCGACCCCTCCATTTCAGCCTCAGATCACAGACGATTATGGTTTGGATAACTTTGATACACAGTTCACCAGCGAACCTGTGCAGCTAACCCCAGATGATGAGTATGTTTTTTAATACAATTAAACAAATATGCATCCAGAAATGTATATATGAATATGAAGTTGTTGTAACATTACTGAGAGAGAGTTAATATCTAAAAATGGAACAAAAATGTTGAAGTTAAAGATACTAATGTAAATTCAAGAAATGCATAAGTTAAAGTTCTCAAGTGACATTTAGACATCCACATAATACATACTGTATATTTCAGAATACATCTAACAGCCTAATGAATAATCAAAAGTATATGTATTGCTGTTGTTGACCGTCAACAGCGTACTTGGTGCTGTACAAACAGCTAAGAACATATGATATCTGCCCCAAGAGGCTTACTCTTTTGTATGGAGACAAAACAATTTAGAGAGACAATGCATCAAGGGCCAGTCCGAGTTTGACATGATAGAGGACTCTTGCAGAGGGCATGATTGAAAGTCTTTGCTGGAAAAGAAAACGCGGAACAAGAAGGGATTTGAAGGTCAAGAGGCCCATTGCTTGGTGCAAGGAGGAAACTGTTCCGAGTATAAGGCAAAGATGAAGACAAGATACAAATGTGGTGCTTAGGAGGAAAACTTGGAAGTAGTGACACGATGAGAGCCAAGATCATGTGAACAGGTTCAGGGTATGGTGGGCCTTGAAGGTCAGCCTCAGAAGCTTGAACTCATTTTAGAGAAACAAGGGGAAGCTATATATGCAACATGAGGAGAACTTCAGTGAGACGCATGAATTTTGTCATCTTGTCTATAAAGTGCCTAACATATGTCTCACATTGAATGAATAATAAGGGAGGGCAGGATGTCACTACCACATTGCTTGTGACAAGGGTGATAGCCTCCCCAGCCTCTTTTATTTATTTTTTATTTGTTGGTTGGTTGGTTGATTTTGCTGGCCAGCCCAGTACAGAGTGTTTTTGATAAGGATAGGACACCTCCTAGTATTTTTCTGCAGGTAGCTACTCCCATCCTTCTGCATGATGTCCAATTGGGAAGCAATGCAAAGTGAATTTATTCATCCTTTTTTCCAGGTGCACAGTTTCTCTTTCAAGGCTATTACATATGGCACTATTGTTAAATGTTTGTTAGAATTTTACCTTTTAATGACTCAGTTTATTGGCTCTGCTGCTTGAGGAAATGGCACAATAGAGCTATGTTACATGCTCAGCAGAACTATTTATACACTGACATTTTTTTAAGTACTGCTTTGGCATTCGCGTACCGTTGGGGTGAGAGAGAGTCTATTCAGAAATACAAAAGAAGCAAGACTTTCCTTATTCAAATCCAGAATTTTAAAATGGAAAATAAAATAAGTCTCCATGTCAATGGAGACTTTAGGTTTATTTGAAATTACACAAGGCTCAGTTACCTTGGAGTTGGTGAAATTAGGCTCAGACTAGGAATTTCTGGGCCAGCTCTACTGTGAGAGAGCAGGCAAGTAAGCTGTGGCTTTCCATCCCCAAAGTTTGCTTTCAGATGAGCTTGCTTACACATGCACCTTTTCAGTAGCTGGATTCCTTTTCCTTTCCCTTATTAAAGTGGAAGTACTATGCTGTGAAGTGATTTCTTCTGAATGGTTCCTGCCTGTGATCTTCCTAACTGGGCCTGTTCCCTTAAGAAAGTCTAGTTTAGGTAGAAGTGCAGAGTTTTGAAGTCTTTAAGTTGCAGTTTCATCTGAACCTTTACAGATTCTAATTCAGGAAGGTACTTAAGCAAAAGCTACTGAAGTCATTGGGACTACTCGTGCATAAAGTTAAGCCAGTGATGAAGTATCTTAACAAACAAACAGCGAGGCAAGATGCCTTCACCCCAAGCAAGCAAAGACTATCTCACTCCCTACTCACTCAAATGGCCTCTCAGCCTAGAGCCATGCTGGACTCAGTAATAACCTAAACTTAAGTGGGCTGCCTCCCTCTCTTGCTGCTTCCTAGCCTAAACTGAGTTCCCAGCATGGAAAGCAGGAGACAATCAGGACTCATTGCATTACTTCTGTAGCAGAGTGCTCACTAGTGACCTAGGGAACCACCTTGATATTATCCAGTCCCTAAGTGACATCCATAGGGAGATTAGCTAATTTCCTGAGGGGTAAAGACTGTACTATAACTACATTCAGAAGAGGAATGTGTAGACTGTATTCGGGTCCAGCTTGATCACAAACAATACAGCAAATTACAAATGGATGTTGGATTGAAATATTTTAATTTTTTCTCCGTTTTTATCAGTCTCTTAATGTCAAACAATGTCATAATAAATAATGGACTGAGGCTTCTTCTCTGTTTCATGAACCGAAAAACATGCCTGTTTCTAAACACTTTTTTAAAGTTTGTATTTCTTTTAGATTAATTTAAAATCTCTAAACCAGTGGTTCTCAAGCTATTTATCATTGTGGGCTGCATATGTGGCCCATAATGTGTTACCTGGGCTGCAGTTTGAGAACCAAGCCCCCCCCCCCCCCCAAAATGCCCTTACAGACCTCTATGCACGAGGGCAGGGCAGCCTGGACCCTTGGGCCCCAGACCCTGCCAAGCTGGGTGGCCTTTAGCACACAGCTGGGCTGCAGGTGTGTGCCAATTGAGCCGCATGTGGCCCACGGGTTCAGAACTACTGCCCTAAACTGACAGCCAGACATCTTTGTGCTGAAATTTGCAAACTGCCTCCTGCTGAAATTTGCAAACTGCCTCCAAACAACAGTTGAGCTCTTTTTTTCTTTCCAATCTGTTTCTCTTCCCCGTCTGTCTACTCCTATACTAATTCTTTGGCTCCACATGCATAAGGCATGACAACAGTTTATTAGGTTACTTTAATGGGAAATACAGACTCTCTGCATTAGAGGATTACAAATTTAGCTTGCAAAAAGGTTTTTTTTGTTTGTTTTTGTTTTTATGGGGGGTAGGAAAGAAACTTGCAAAATGAATTGTGTACATCCTAATTTTTTTTAATAGTCAGAAAGGGTTTTACAGAATTAAAGAAAGTGGCAATTTCAAAAAATTCTGTTAGGCTCTGGAGAAGTATAATTCCAGTTGACATTTGACAAGCTGTAGGACACAATCCACCCTTCTATCAGTTTGTGACGATTTACACAAGAAATTCCCAATAAAGATAATGGTGCTCATGTGTAAACTCGTGCAGAGTGCTACAGGAACCAGGCCCTTTTTTTAAAACGGGTTTTAGCAGATTAAAGATTGAGAGAAAGGCAGTAACGGCTTGTGCTCTGCTACGAAGGCCTTGTCCACACAACAACTTTTAACGGTGTGTGTGTGTATAGTTAGTGGTGGTGGGGATGACTGTAAATGGTGGTTTGTGTCTGTGCAGGACATGGATAGAAATTAGTAGCTGTGACAGCTAACCGCAAACTAGGCTGGCACCTGGCTTTCTTCTCCTGTAATAGATTAAGTGCACTGGGGTTTGTTTGTTTGAAGAAAGTACTCCTGACTAGTAGTTCTAGCTGTCAGTGCAGAAGGATATTTGAGTTCTTTGCCTTTGTTGCTGGTGCTCTATGTGCATGACCTTCAATCACACACTGTTTCTGCTGAAGCACTACAGGACAGTTGCTAAGTTTTTCTCAGAATGCATAGATAAAACCAGTTAGGCATCGGGGTACATGCAGAGTCAAACAATTGTATGGCAATGAAGCTGCTGTGCGAATGAAAACTGAACCATGTTGGGGATTGGTCCTGTTTTGAGCAGGGGATTGGACTAGATGACCTCCTGAGGTCCCTTCCAACCCTGATATTCTATGATTCGTGTTACTTGTGAACAGTTAAGCTGACTCTGTCACCAACTGGCTATAAAATCACAGTTGAAGACCTAACATTCAGTGTTCCCTTGGCAAGTCAGTTTTCTCTGTTCATCAGTTTCTAAAACCTTCCACTGGATCTCCCTTGTGCACAACGTTCAGTTTACATTTGTTTTCCTCAGATTTGTGTCTCAACTCCATAGCATCCTCGCCTACATCTCAGAGCTTATCGTGTTACTTTCCCCTAGCCATCACCACTGCCAGTGATATCAGCCTCTATGCCTTGTGCATTTCTTTCTCTGTGTAAATTGCTGTTCCATCCCAGTTTTCCAAACTACCAACCTCTCATTAATAAAAGCGATACTGCTTGAGATTTTGGAATGAAAAATTTATTAAAAGTATTTGTGTATTCAAAGCTTGTTGTTTGTTTATTCTAATTCTTATTATTGGTTCTATATCACTAATACTTAGCATTTTTATAGAACTTGTACACGTTATAATACTGTACAACGAGGAATCTCTTGAACAAAATGATTAGCAATACAATCAAGAGTTCCAAGTAGTAATCTAAAGAAATATTTCTCCTTATTTTTCAGAGATGTAATAAAAAGAATAGATCAGTCGGAATTTGAAGGATTTGAATACATTAACCCATTGTTGCTGTCAACAGAGGAAACAGTATGAAGGAATGACATCTCCATTGTGGACAAATAATGTGAATGAACTTTAAATTTATCCTTAACTACAGTATATGCATGCAAGGCTGGGGAACTGTAAGGTTTTGGATGGAGACCAATGATAAAAAATATTGCTGCTGAAAATCAAAGATGAGAATATGATTTTGGTGGGTGTCTTCCTCTAAATATTGGTTTTTAAAAGTTTTGGGCACTGACACAACTGGCTTCGTTAATGAAGGAATTTGCATTTGTGCCTGTCTCGTGAAGGATCAAAGTGTTCATTGCATCCTCTGGAAAAGAGAGATTCCGAACAACTTTGAAAGCTACATACTTTCCACAAACACTTGATGCACTGAGCTATTATTTGAAGAATATTAGAGTGTAACATCCTGAAGAATAAAACGTTAGTGGTGTTGAAGCTTATTTTTTATGCCTTTTTCACAAGTGGTACCTGTCTAAACGTCTCAGATACGATATGTAAAAGGAGTTGTGTTTTATTAGCAATCAAAACATAAATTTGGGTACAGGTTTTAAGTGCCTAAATGGATGAACTGCATTGAAGACTTATTACATATTTTCAACATTCTTAACCCTGGTAAGTTAGGCTTGTTAACATTCAATAAGGAACATATAAATAAAAGCTGCAACCTAATACTGAGGTACATCTTTATAGAGGAGCAGAGTGACTCAGCAATACCAATTCCAAATTAGAACTCCCTGTATCAAATCAAAAATCTGGATTGTTTAAACCTCAAAATTTTAGTTTAAAAAAAAAAAAAAACCTAAATTTGCACAGAGTGGATTTCTGAAAATTCGTAAGCAGTGCCTACAATGATGTCTTGTGTTGTGTATTAAATTTTTGAAAAGTATTTTTATCAATAATACAATATTCAGAAATAGAACAACAAAAGTGTAATGGATCGTAGCCTTAAAGTTTAAATAGCAAATCTAGATTATCCATAAACATGCTACATTTTCCTGATAAAGCACACCTCCTACTAATCAACTGTCTGCTTAGAAATACTCAGTGTATATTACTAATTCATTGTTCTACATAGGAGAACGGGATGCTTTGATAAAAATGGCTTGCTTCAAAGCAGTAACTTTTTCAATGGAGGGAAAAATGAATATGTGATAATTTGGGTAAGGTGATAGATGTCCAGTCCCTTCTCTTGAAAACTGGGAAAAAGGGGATGTTATATCACAAAGGTTAAGAATTTGTTGTCAGCTGTGGAAAAACTCATGTCACTATATTTAATGACTAAGTGTGCACTGCAATCTAAAAGCTTTCAGATGCTTGTAAAGATTTACCTGTCTCATTGCAGATGACAACAACAGAGGCAGTACTTTGTGCTAGGTTTTTGTTTAACTACATTGTGTGGCTTGTGGTTCTGGGGGGAAATTGATGTGGGAATTTAAAAAAACCAAGAAACCCTGTGCCATGACATCTCACCTAATTTGGTGTAAAATGCAGGATAAATTGCAACGTTTTCTTTACATTAACATATAGGTTTCTCAGGGTACAGCATTGCATTAGGTGCTGAACATGACATCTTTCGGATTCACATCCAAGTCATGAGGTGCTAGGATGAGACTGCCAAAACATTGTGTTTAAATTTTTCAATTAACCATTGGTTAAACTACATTTTGTATCCCCTCATTGGCCACAATTATGCAAACCTGTGGTAATTCAGTTTTATTAATCCCATCCAGATTTGAGTTTTGGGTTTCTTTTTGTTGGATTGTAGCTTTTTATATTAAGCAAGATGTGTTCTAACCAGCACTAAATTATTTAATCAGAAAAAAGTACTTGCCTCAAATGCCTGGATTTTAGATAAATTGGTATCTAGTAAAGGAGTTATTTACTTTTTAAATGTAATATGAACTTTTTTGTTTTAATTCCCCCTTTTTTCCCTCCTTGGCAACTTAGTGTACCCTGAACATTTTCTGTGTTTCAGTATTTAATCAATGCCCTTGGTTTTACAACTGATCATTACTTAAAACAGTGACTATGGCAGTTCTTGCGTGGAGATATGATAAAGCTGCCCTTAAATGGATCTGGGCAAGGGGCTTAGAAATGGAAACATGGAGGTTTTTTACCTCAAATTTCTATGACATATTGGAACATTTTGTTTGGGGGGAGGGGGAAAGAAAGGGACAGAGAGACACATTTGCTCAAAAAACGTTAAAAAATCCTTGATTTATTTACAATTCAAGGCATTTACAATGTTTCTGTGTTGCCAAATAGTTTGCTGGTTATAAGTTTGGTTGCTCACGTGCAAGTGTATGAATAATGTTCTGTTCATGATGAAGGGGGAAATTTTTTATATAAAGTACTTGTTTTATAAATTAAAGAAAATGAAGGATGTAATTAAATGTGTGGTTTGAAAAAAATCCTAATATATTACAAATGGATCTGGTTATGATATATAGTTGTCTTATTTGAAATAGTAAATGAAAACTCTAGCTAATTTAATGATTGTAAAACAGTAAATATGTTCTTGTAGTTTTGTATAATTAATTAGTTGAGATCTTTGCTGGCCAGTTTTAATTGTGCAGAAGATGGTATACTAATCCATAACAGCTAAGATCATTTATATTCTTGCACATCTATTAAAGACTTTAATGAAAAAGCCAATAGACTTATTATTTATCACCACATTGAGAAATGACCAATATAGTTAGATTTTTTTTTAACTGAGAGTCTTATGGTTATTGTAAATTAAAATAGTCACCAAGGTTTGTATTTTGATACTGTATTGTGTTTTATTCTGTATTTTTGGACCATAACCAATGCCTAAATCATTGAGTCTGGTCCAACAGTTTTCCCGTGGCAGAAAATTTGTTTGTTCAAATATTGAACTTTTACTTCGGTGTTAATCTGAGGCGCAGTCTTTCACGGCACAATATGTGTAGCCAAGTACGGTCAAAATAACTGAAAGAAAATGCAGACTAGTCATTTTTGTTTTTTATTCATAACCTTGTGAGAAGAAATGAGTTCAGGGATTGTGAATCCATATATCGTGTAATGCACGAATTAATTACCCTGTTTGGTGAAAACAGGCGTCTGCCCCATGGGGAAATGAAGCACCTATTGTATATCCGTGTCTTTCCCTCCCTTCCCACAAATTGTTAATAAGCTATTACTGAATGTAATGATCTGCAATCAGTAATGAAATTTAAAAATTTACAACATATTTAACTGCAACTGTCTTGGTAACCAGCTGGAAATTCATGACAAGTCGTGTATAATTTTAAAGCACAAAATCTGATTTTAAAAATGAAAGAGCATAAAAGTATCAGTGTGATTTGCTGAACAAAGAAGCTGTGCTTCTTTACATTTTCACATAAGTATAAGCAATTTTCCACTTGTCTGGGGGCAGCGACAAGTATATTTGAGCCTTGTTCTATTAGCATAATTACATTAAACCGTTCTGCATTTCGATGCTATGAGAACATCTAGTTATGCGTTTATCGGGCATAATTTATATGAGGCTTGCTATCTTAGTTATTTTAAATGAGAGGTTATAATGAAGCAGACCTTGACTTATGGGGGAGAGAATCAGGGAGCAGTGATACGAATCCAAGAATGTCATCTGTATGAAAGGTGCAGTTTTCCTTCCCTAATCTGGGATATACAGTACCATCATATATATACTTTCATATAGAGGACAATACAGAACAGTGCAAAATTCCAACTAGATTTTTATTTAAACTTTTTTTCAAATAAAGCATGAACTGAAATTTAAAAGCCTAAACAGACATTAAAAAATGCTGTAGTACCCAAAGTATCAAGCAATTTACTTTCCAAAGAGTTAGCCATTTAGAACCTGATATAAAGCCTGTTGAAGTCACTGGATTCAATGACATTTGGATTAGGCAAATTAACAGTCTACAGAATTAACAGTCTACAAGAAAATTTCTTGCATCAACCTCTTCCTGCTATACCTTTCAAAAGCATAATAATTTAAATACATGGCAAAAGAGAACAGATACTGTACTTCAAGGAGCCATAATGGTACTTTTTGATATGCATTCGGTGGGGCTCCACAGCATCCAGAGGTATACCCACACAGTTCTCTTTGCAGGATCAGGGATACAATGGATACACAGAGCGGTTCAGAGGAAATGAATAGAGGCTGATGGTATTTCTGACCTTTCTTTGTTTTTGTTTTTCAATTATACAAGTTTAATACACATTCTATCAGGACACATTTTCTTGATACACTTTCCTTTTTTCTTGTAGAGAGATTCATATCTTAGCATCTGACTTCTTGGCTCTTCATTCTTGTTCTTTTACCAAATCACATCATCTGCACTTTCAGACAAACATTTAGCAAGATGGCTGTCAATGTCCAACTGTGACAATCTGCAAATTAAGAGAGAAGTCTTTCATTTTATCAGAACTACTGATCAAATCTGCTCCCTTCATTTACTCACACTCCCCCCAAACTTGGTTTTTCGTTTTCTAGAAATCTGGAAAAATGGTATTTAATTTGCAAGAGTCAGGTCATTCTTATGTTCTACAGAATGGAAAACAGAGTCGGAGATGAAATTAAAATATGGTTGTAATATTGTATTTTGAATAAAAACAAATTTCACTCTGAACCGGTTTCCAAAATAGTAACTTAAATTTAGAAGTACATTTAATATGGGAACTGCACAGAGACTTACAGAATTTCCAGTTAACTAGACCAGCAGTTCTCAAACTGTGGATCACGACCCTGTTTTAATGGGGTCATCAGGGCTGGCTTAGACTTGCTGGGGCCCGGGGCCAAAGCAGATGCCCAAGCCCCACTGCCCAGGGCTTCGAAGCCCTCGGGCTTCAGCCCTGGGCAGCAGGGCTCAGGTTACAGGCCCCTAGCCTGGGGCTGAAGCCCTTGGGCTTCAGCTTTGGCCCTCCTGCCCAGGTTAGTGGGGCTCAGGCTTTGGCCCCCCTGCCTGGAGCGATGGGGCTTGGACCGGATCAGGCTTCAGTCTCCCCTCCTGGGGTTGTGTGGTAATTTTTGTTGTCAGGAGGAGTCATGGTACCATGAAGTCTGAAAACCCCTGAACTAGATCAATAACAAAATGAGTAATGTGGGGAATATTCTGAAGCCTTTGAGAGAGGTTTCTGGGTATGCTCATTCTTTCACCTGGAGAGAAAAAGGTAAAATGAATTCTCTGTACAGCACCCTTTATAGCCCTCTGTTAAAAAAGAAATCTACTCCAAAGCAATACAACCCAAATCACCAGTGGAAAGGTAGGTGTGACGCCATAGAAGAGTCTTTAGTCTCAGTCAGGTCACTTAGCAAAACTGAGACATTTTTCTTGGTTGCATTGAAGTAATCCTTTTGTTTGTCTCCTTGTACAGTCTCCAGGAGGGAGAACAAAGCTGCAGGAATATTATGCTGCATGGCCTATGGCCATAAGAGGCTGTTCCGAACACCTACAAGCATATTACTAATAAATGTTACTTTTCAGCAGCTGGTGCGGAGACAGCATGAATGCTGGTAAGTGGTATGGTATGAATAGGCTCTTTAGTTCATTTCTTATAGCAGGTGTCTGGTTTAGGAAAATATTTTTTTTATTAATTGAGTTCCTGTGAAAAGCCAACTCAACAATAAGGGAGGCTGAAGTCATGTTTAACCACCAAACATGGGAACAGCAAAGGCAGTGGCAGCTTTCTCCCCCCACCGCTTCCCACACACAGTCCTGACCTGGAAAGGCCATTTCTAAACGTGAAAGGGTAGTTTGTCATCCATGCATATTCAGTCTTTGGGACTGTTTTTTGTGATTTGAACCCCACCTGCTCACAAGGACATGAACTATGGCCCACCAAACAGCTGACAAATAATTACATTGTCATTAATGGCTCACTCAATTTAGATCAGTGACCTTAGAAGTGGAGACTCATCTTTTACAGATTAAAAGTTAGCCAGCCTACCAGAAAAATAAAATTGAAACATGAGGCCCACAATCTGTAACAGACAAGTACAGTCTCCAAGTACATAACACATGCTACGCTGTAACTCAATGTTCAGGCCAAACGGATTACTAATTATGTCCTATACTATTTTCGTTTGGGTCACAAAGGTTACCCCTGGGAGTTTTTATTCAGGGTAAAGCTGCCCCATGAGCTGCAATAAGAGTGCAGTATCAACTATTAAGAGAGATTTTTCTTATCTTTGATATACAGGGATTTCCATACTCAGTCAAACAATCATTTAACCACTATTGAGAGTTGAGTGGAACTCGGGGAATGCATCAGGATGAGATTACTGTAATTCCCTATCCCAAGTCCATGTGTTAGCGTTACTCTTTGCTGCTAAATAGCTGCAAGCATATTGAACCTTAAGAACGAAAGGCAAAGTGTAGATGTCCAGGAGCCACATAATATTTAACTATCAGAGGGGTAGCCGTGTTAGTCTGAATCTGTAAAAAGCAACAGAGGGTCCTGTGGCACCTTTAAGACTAACAGAAGAAGTGAGGTTCTTACCCACGAAAGCTTATGCTCCCAATACTTCTGTTAGTCTTAAAGGTGCCACAGGACCCTCTGTTGCTTTTTATAATATTTAACTGAGATCAGCAAAATGATTTCTAAACATACCAGTAACTTTGACATTTTGCATTTTCTATAAAAGGATATTCCAAAAGAAGGATTTCCACAAATTTAAGCCCCAACCCACTCGCCAAAACAGCAGCTTCAATTGATCTGAGAAGAAAAATCTCTTTCACTTCTACCAACAGCCAGCATTCAGATAACTGGCAGGTTTCTCATTCTGAAAGTGTAATGATTCTTCTATGGTTTTGTCCACTCAGGGATATTTTCCAGCATTACTATACCTATATAGTTATACCAGTATAACTCCCCTGTGAACATTCTTATGCACAACAGTGGAAACTGAAAAAAGGCCACTGTTGTTCTAAATGTGTCCACCTAGGGAGTTAGTGGTATAATTATACTGATAAATTTCCCAGTACAGACAAACTCTATTATCACTGAATGATCCTTTACTCAAACTGAATGAGTGTGTATTAGCTGTGAAAGATCTGTTAAAACAAGGTTGTCACCTGGAGCTGTTCTCCACCATACTTTTGTATTTCAAACAAAGTCAGGCAATGCTTTATTAAGATTTTTTCTCAGAGTTCTGTGGCATTTTTTCCAATTTTGTTGTTGTTGTTGTTTTGTTTGAGGTCCTGGATTAATAACCTTGAAGACTGATGTGCTTTCTTGGAGTCTAATCATCTTAGGCTATGCCTACACTATGGGGACTCTAACAGCATGGGTACAGTGATGTAGGTAGGCTGGCATAACCCCTTGTGTAGACACAGCCTGCAGCAGTGGAAAATGTTTTTCTATCACCGTAGGAACACCACTTCCCTGAGCAACTGTAGAAAGGTAAATGGAAGCATTCTTCCATGAACCTAACTGTGTCTACAACGGAGGCTAGGTTCACATAGATTTTTCACACCCCCAGAGTGCTGTAGTTATATTGACCTAAGTTTTAAGTGCAGACTAGGCCTTAAAGGTGCTGGGTACTCAACTCCTGAGACAATCAGCAGAACAGGGACATGATGGGAAAACACCAGTGCAAGTTTCTCTCTCTGTCACAAGTGGGTACAAACCTCAGAGGGGGGAACACTGATAGGTATCAGAGGAATCTGAATGGGTATGGAGACTAGGCTTTAGCCAGCAAGGACACCAATTTTGGATGATTGAAATATACTGATCTAAAAATACATCTACTTCACCAAAAAACAGTGTGCCAATTTGGAATATACAGAGTCAAAGTAGGGCTCAAATTTAGCTTTCTTTTTAGAGCAGTATAATAGAGAAAACATGTGGACCTTATTCCACCTTTGTTTTGGATTTAAAATAGATTGTCCAAGCACTGAATAACACTTAAAGTTGTACTTTAACAGTAGAATCTTTGTCCCAATTTGCACAACTTTGTTTATAGGGAGGTCCCAACCAAAGTGCCATGTTTGTGTTTGTATACTGTAAAAAATATATATATATTCAAGTAATAAAATGAAAGACTTACATTCCAGTAAACTGGATTAGACACATCGGACAACTGTCAAGAGTTAAAGTTCCTGCTCTCTGATCCTCAGCCTTTTCCTCAAGACCTTCCATTTTGGGGACGTCAACAGGAGATTTTATTTCTGCAGATGTAGATCTGGTCTCACCTAATAAAACATTATGTTGGTGCATTTGTGCATCTGACTGTTGTCCTTTGCTTTCATTTTCTTTTCTGTTTTTCTCTTCACTCAGCACAGTCCCTTTACAGAGCTGTTGAAGACAAAAATCTTTTGCAAGACTTTGGGTAGATGCTGGTACAGAATGAAGTGTTGAATCTGTAAATTGATTACGTTCATACTTTTCAGTCCTTTCTTTTTCTTTCAGTTTTGAAGAACTTTTTCTGCTGTGTTTCATTCTTATGATCTCATCTGGATTGTCATTAACTGCAAGGGATATTTTCTCAACTACAGGAGCAATATTTAGCTGGTTTGGGTCTGCTTCGTCCTCTCTTTCCATTAGATGCTCAGTTTGACTTTTTGATATGTGACAGCAGCTTGGATTCTTTCTATTAAGAGCTTTTTCTTTGTAGAAAGATGGGAGAGGTATCCATTGAAAATCTTTCATTCCTACCTTAAAGACTTCTGGTTTTGGTGGGTTCTTCTCATTTTCAGAATTCTATAAAACAGCAAAAATTTATCTCCTTCAAAACAATTGCCATTTCTTCCATATGTAAAAACAAGTTTAGACACAGCCCTTACAAGTATATTATAGAAGCCAATGCTGCACTAGGAGCATTGTCTAAATTGGAATGAATAGGTCTCTTCCATATCTAATCTCTGTTAAGTGTCTACTTCCATTTATAAATGGAAAGGGAAGCCCTACTTATTATATACACGTTAAGATGACTGAACACAATGAGGGTAAGTCTTCCTTTAGTAATTTGCAAAGAACTTGAAAGTAGTCAAAAGAGGATGATGATAAAATTTAAATACTGAAGGGTGCCTTGTTTGTTTGCTCTTCCCGCGTATGTTCATTCAGAGGAAATTCATACTTCAGGAGGTCTGCACATTATTATTTTGTATTGTGGTTGTACCTAGGGCCCCCATCAGAGATCATAGCCCTATTGTGCTCTCTAAGAACACATCCTCTTGTTGCTGCATATTTAGTTTGCCTTTCCCTGTAAATCCTCCCTTTGTGTGAACCTAGTACTCATAACAGGTAGTGGACTTGGCAACCTTGGAATTCTGAAACTTCCACTTTCCACAGAACTGCTTGGTGTAGCACAGGAAACAATAGTCCAAGAAGCAAGATTTCTTCTGCTCTCCTATCATGTTGTGTCAATTCTATCCTGGAAGGTCCTGGAAAACAAAAATCTAGGAGAAAACCTAAAACCTTGGTCTTTTTCGGTTTTTAGCCAACATGAGTAAGCTTTTCTTTGGAACTGGTTAGTAATCCAGAATTTTAAACAAATGGCTTTCTGTGGAGGGTCTAATTAGGTAAAAGATACAGATACATGGTGGGTTTTAAAGTGGAATTTATCATGCCTCAACTTTAGATTGTCTGTGGTAACTGTTGACATCTAATTCAGATTCTGCCAAAGTTTATGTGAAGAACAAAGCTCTATTTGTCCTGAGAGAGAACTTCTAACAGAATGTAGGAACTAGGGACGTAAAAGTTTAACCAGTTAACCGATAAGCTTGATCCTTATCGGTTCCAGTTAACAATTAAACTCCCCTGCCAGCCCCCGCATGCCCGGGGATCCCGGCTGCAGATGCTGGGTGCCAGCAGCAGCAGAGCTCCGGGCGCGGGGCAGACAGTCGGGACCCCGGGCGCATGGGGGAAGAGGGGCAGCCGGGACCCTGGGTGCATGGGGAAAGGGGGGCAGCCGGGACCCCGGGTGTGCGGGCTGCAGTGCCCCCACACACCTCATTCCCTGTTAAACGATTAACTAATTGAAGATATTCCTACAAGGAATGTAAACAATGGGTTAAAAAAAAAAGTAACAGTTAAACCTATTGAAATTCAAACACATTACCTGTCCAAAAAATTCTGGTAAACTGGGCACTGTTTCCCAGCTTGTGGGTTTTAGATCTGGATTGACAGCCTTCAGTATCAGCATCCACATATTTTCAGACTCACTTAATCCTTGTTGTTCAAACCAGGAGTATCTGTTGGCCAATGTTCTGTAAAAAAATAAATGCATATATACATAAATATTGTAGAAAAAAATGCACTCTACCGTGCTATTAAAAACCACTTAGGCAAATTACCCCTAGTAACATACATGCTTCCTAACAAGTCTAGACCCCCAACCTCTGTTGCATGAATTAAGTATCTGCTGCAACAACGTATTGGACAATGTCCCAGAGCAATAGTTCTCAATCTTTTCCATTGTAACCCTGTTACAGTATAGTTTTGAGACTACCCCTCTTATCAATAACGACTGACCCTCAGGATGAGACCCCAAAAACTAAACCAAGCATACTGTACTGAACCCCCCCTTTCCCCCAGCTGAGTTGGATTTTTTACAGCAAATAGACTCCTAGGAGAGGTGTTCAAGACTACACACAGTTCAGGTTAACATACTTCCTAAAATGTCTCAAATTGCTTTACTAAATCTCATATTTTTATATTGCTGGGAGATAGCAAACTTATGGGAAACCAAGAAGACAACTGTTTTGGTTCTTAAAGAAAACAAACAAACAAAAACTCCATCCTTTACACTACCACTTTTTCAACTTCTAATTTGCAAATGTCTTCCATAAAGCATCTGGCAAACCATCTTAAAACACACATGCTACATATGAGGCATGTCTTGTCAAATGAGGAAAATCTGCAAATGCAGATTTTACCTCCTATAAATGGGAGAGTGCCAACTGCATGGGGATGGAGGAAAAAGGGATTTCACTGTACTGTGTACCACCGTACTCAGTTACCAAGGTAACCTCCATATCATCTATAGCAAGCTCTTTCTAAAACCCCCAGCAATGAAGCATTAACATCACAGTCACTCTGAACTCTTGCATTTGGTCTGGGGTTTTTTTGGAAACTGGAGAGAGACTAGATTTATGGTTTATTACAACAATCTGTAACCCACTCTCTCACACACAGCTACTTTCCTCCCCATGCCTGGAGGCTGTTAACAGGTCACTTCAATTTGAATGGTCCCTTGAAATATGTGTTAACTACTTATGTTAACCAAGAAATACTGAGTTCATTTCACAGACCTGAAGCAAAGCTGTGTGTAGGCTTGGAAGCTTCTCTCTCTCTCCAACAAAAGTTGGTCCAATAGTACCTCATTCACTTTGTCTTTCTAATATCCTGGGACCAACACACCTACAACACTGCATACCGGCTATCCTCATGACAATCTAATAAAGGCCACATATGATGAGAATACCTTTAATTCTTTAGCATTTACTGTAAATGTAATGCTCAATAGGTGAACATTTTCTGCTGTGTCTGGAAAAATATTTGGTTTTCTTAGCAAAGGGCTTGTATATTGGACTGTGTGAAAATGTGTTACAGGTCTGCCCTTCTCACTATTAACAACCAGAAGTAGGAATCTCACCACCTATATATTTGCTGGCCCAGCCCACGCTACCAGCTGGAAAAACTGCATCTAACTAAAACACTTTTCAGGAACTAAACTTGAATCATTTCAGTATCCACCAAAACCTCTACAGTGGGTGAACTTGTAAGTTGCAAATTCACACAAGTTCTCTGAGGCAGAATTTAATGTCCTATAGGCAAAAGAAATGCAGTGGCAAATAACAGATCACCAATCAATATGGGATTTCACCACAAACAATAGAACTGGTAAAAAGTGTGAGTTGGGAAAGTGATGCATGATTGCATGGAAAATACTAACAGTTGCATCAGTTTCCATAATATTGTGTGAGGCCGTCTCCACACTGATACACCTCTACCCCGATATAACGCTGTCCTCGGGAGCCAAAAAAACTTACCTCGTTATATCGAATTTGCTTTGATCCGCTGGAGTGCGCAGCCCTGCCGCTGCGCCCGCCGCGCCCGCCGCGCCCGCCCCCCCCGAGTGCTGTTTTACCGCATTATATCCGAATTCGTGTTATATCAGGTCGCGGTGTATCGGGGTAGAAGTGTATATGAAACTGAAGAGCTCTGTGTAGTTCACAAGCTTGTCTCTTTCACTAACACAAGTTGGTCAAATAAAAGATAATACCTCATTTGAAACTACTGGTATCTATTTAGAAATGGTATTTGAAACTATTGGTATCCTTTTAGAGAATAGTATTTACATATTTTTGCTAGGAAGCTGTTTAAAAGCACAAAAGCAAATAAAAAAGCACCAATATAAACATGGTGTATAATGCCAGCCTCCAAAAACTTTGCTTTAAAAAAAAATCATAAGATTAGGCCCTGACTTCCTCCTTTCTGAAGCATCTTCTAGGGCACCAGTCCCGTGTGGCAGAGACATGGCAACAGACAGAAACCCGAGATGCAGCTTTCACAAGCCCTCACTGGGGGAAGAAGCCAGTCTCCTTAGATCTCTGCTCTCGGGAGGTCTGTTTAACCCAATCTCTCTAACTGGCCGAGAGAGACGAACAACCCGAACCGTCTCTGACCACCCCACTCCCCCGCACCGCCCTGGCGGGAAGGCGGGAAACACACTCTGTTTTCAGCTGACCCCTGTTCTCCAGCACCAGCGGAGGTGGAGCAAACAAGGGAAGTTAAAAACGAGCCCGCCGCTTCTAGGGCAGCGGCCTGAGCGGGTCTCGGCCCTTAGCGGTCCCTGGCCAGCAGCCAGGCCCTGGGCTGTACGGCACAGCGCCCTCGGGGCTCCCGTTCCCCGGCAGCCACAGCGCTCAGCTGCCAACGGAGAAGCCCGGGCCCCGGCTTTGTACCACGAATCCGGCGGGAGGGGAAGGGGTTCCCCGTGTGCTGCCCCGCCGCTCCCCGGCCGCCTCAGGCCCGGCCCGGGGTGGGTCAGCCGGGTCCCCTGCACTGGCGCGGGGCGGACCGAGACCGTCCTTTCCCCTTCGGCCCGGGGCGGCGGGGGGAGCAGTCCCAGAGCCCGCCCCCTCCATCCCGGGGCCTCGGGCCTTGGCGCAGTCCCTGCTCGGCCGGGACTCACTGGCGCCGCGCGGGGGGCTCCCGACCCGGGCTGGGCTCCCGGCTGCGGCCCGGTGGCGCCTTCCTGGGCTTGAGGCGCAGTTTGCCGCCTCCCTCCTCAGACATGGCCTGGCCGAGGGGCCTGCTCCGCGCCGCGCAGCCCCGACCTCCCCTGCGGGACCCGCCCGGAGCCGCCTGCGCGGGGCGGGGCTCGGCTCTCGCCGGGAGAGCTCGGGTGTGCGGGGGCGGGGCAGAGCTCGGGTCTGCCTGTGGGGCTGCAGGGATGGGGGAGCTCAGGTCTGCCCGGGTTGGGTGTTGGCTTTGTAATGAGGCAGGCCCTGTGCTCCTCTGGGGGCAGTGGGGCTGGGGCTCCATTATGGGGAGGGGGTTGCAGTAGCCCAAACTCGGTGTGGCTAGGAGGGGACAGTGGTGGTGCCCAGGGAGGCTCAGTACAGAGGCCCATCATTGGGGTTGGGATGGGGAGCTTAGACCAAGTACACAGTTGTAGGTAACGTGGCTGTTCTGAGCCCACCAGGACCCTAGTTGTTGCCCATCTTATTTTCACACAGGTTTCCCCCAACGCCTCTGGTAAGGGGCATAGGGAACAGGCCAGTTGGGCGATGATCAGACTATGGATGAGGTGCAGTTTGTTGGCTCTCCCTTCAGGCCCAGCCAGGCCAAGGGAGCCTGCTCTGCTTCTGGGTGCCAATGGCTGCCCTAATCGCTAATCTCATTGGCCATAAGGGTGGTTCCAAGAAACTCACAAAATTGAAGGACAGGCTCCGAACCTGCAAGGCGCTGAATACTCTCAGTGCTCTTTGAGGGACGGGTAGCCCAGAGCTTCCAGAAAACACTCAACACCTCACAGAATCAGGCCCTGATTTGAAAAAAAACATCAGGAGGGCAGAAAACTACAAAATAAAATTTAAAAACAATAATATCCCCTTTAAAAAAAATCTCTGCTGTAAAGTACTTTCTACAGGGGTCAGTGCAGCAGCTTTAGTAACAATAGGTAACATCCTTGGTGTCTGAGAATTGGCACCTCTGCAGTAGACTACAGAAGTTTTGTAAGTTCATTTTGTTGCTTAAACAGCATCTGTCTGATACTTTTTAACATGCCTGGATGGAATCCTAGGTGCTGTGCACCTGAATTGTGAAAATGCAATATTTGCCAGTTAGGTGGCCCCTTGGGGGTTTTGTTGGGCTCTATTTGGTCAGACTCAGACACTTAGTTAGCTAACACATTGCTTCATAACATTGGGGCATCCAGACTACAGGAGGATGGAACATGTAACCAGAGTTTGCTGCAAATGGACAAGGGGACTAGAACCTCAGCTGCATTCATCATTATTGATTTTGTGCCCATGCCGGGGATCTGTTTACCTTGGCAGCCAGCAACTCAGTCACTAATTCAAATAACAAAGGTAATCATGAGTGCATCTCTTCCTCTTTTAAGAGAGAATAGCAGTGAAGCGAGGCCATTTGTCTTTTCTGGGAAGAACCTTTGTGTATGACGTAAAATGAAGTGGTTCCTAGAGCAGGGGCATAGCTGGCAGATTGATATGTACAAATACACTGGCTAGGCTGCAGTCCTTTCAAAAATAGATCCGCTATTAGAAATGCCATAACAGAGGAGGATCATACAGAGAGACTGAGGGGGAACCAAATGCCTCCCAGTCACCACAAGAAGAATTGTACTAGAAAATATAAGTTGTCCACTTTTCCCAATGCCTGCCTATACCCACCTGACACTAGGTGCCTGTGAATTGCAGAAGGGAATCAGGTATCTTTATTTTATAGAGTGAATTTACTATTAGTCAATGGTGCCTGACTGCCCTGGGTACTGGAAACCTTTTTCTTCCTGCACTATAAACAGCATTGATGCCAGCTATCTCACTTCATCTCCACACTTTACTTCCACACTGCCCATTTAGTCCTTAGTGTCTGTGCTGAGGTTGCTAACCAGATGTCAATTAGTACTAACTGCAGTGTTGTTGGTTTTTTTAGGTATGTCCACAAGTTACTGGGCTGAGCTCTCCCTCCCCACCACAACTTTTCACATAGGCCACCAAATAGCAATTACAGAACAGCCACCTTCAGTCACTGCATCCCTGGGCCAGATTTGAACCAGTAAAATGGTGTTCAGATCCCACAGTGATTGGTGCACATCAGAAACACCTAGATAGGTATAACCTACAGGTGATAGCACCATATCAAATTGCCAGCCACCCAGTCCTACTGAGCTATAGAGGAAGAATGGTTGAGTGGTGAGGGCACTTGCCTGAGACTTGAAAGATTGGGGTTTGATTCTACAGCTTCGTTGTGTGATCTTGGGAAAATCACTTCACTTGGTGTGTCTATTTCAATTCCCCATCTGTAAACTGGTGATAAGAAGTGGTTCCCTACCTCACAGTGGTGTTGTGAGGATAAATATACATTAAAGATTATGAAGTGCTCAGATATTACAGCAGTGGGGGTCATTAAATAAGCCATACATGGAAAAATACCAGGACTCTCCATGCCTGAATTCTGGCATTTCTTGTGCTTAGTGGTCAGTCTAAATGAAAATGAACCTTGCCTCCAGACAGAAACAGCCTGAGTTTGTTCTAGAAATACTATTGGGCACCTAGTAGGCTGACAGTTTCCCTGGACCCTTGTGTTTGGTTCCTGGCACCAGATCACTCGTGAAATCCTAAAAAGGCCTGTTGTCTTAGAATTCACCTGTAGTCTGTGCTGCTGGCATTTGAACGCTGCTCCCCAGTCAGCGGATATGGCATTCCTGGAAGCTGCCTGTCCTGTCAATGATAAAGGATTAGAAAACATGTCTTATAGTGATAGAGTCAAGGAGCTCCATTTAGTTTAACAAAGAGAAGGTTAAGGGTTGACTTGATTACAGTCTATAAATACTTACATGGGAAATGAAATATTTAATAATGGGCTCTTCAATCTAGTGGAGAAAGGTATAACACAATCCAATGGCTGGAAATTGAAGCTAGGCCAATGCAGATTGGAAATAAGGTTTACATTTTTAACAGTGAGAGTAACCATTTGAACAATTTACCAAGGATTGTGACTGATTCTCCGTCCCTGACCATTTTGAAATCAAGATTTGATGTTTTTGTAAAAGATCTGCTCTAGGAGTTATTTTGGGGGGATTCTATGACTTGTTATACAACAAGTCAGGCTGGATGATCACAGTGATTCCTTCTGGCCTTAGGTGCATTCTGACTCAGCAGAGCCAGAACCAGGTGGGCTGATGACAAAGTTAAATCATTTTATAATCGATGTAGGGAGGAAGATAGTGATGGGGATAGAAGAGACGGATGAGGTGAAATAGACCTGGGACAGCAAGGAAAAGGAGAAGGGGAGGGGGGGAAATTACTGCAATGCAATGGCTCAATAAAGAAGGGAGCATAAAAAAGAATCAGGGGAAACGTTTCACTGCAACACATGCCAACTGTAAAATCAATGTAAAAATGTTTCTTTTATCCATTTATTTTTTAGCCTTGGCAACTGTGCTAAGTGAGCATTCGAATTAGTACTACCAGTATTCTCCACGTGGCGGCAGCAAAGAAACATCTCCTGCTTTAGAAAACCAAAAGCTCTCCTTTTCAATATGAGTGAGTGGCAGCGCCAGCCCTGGTAGCTTTATGTGCAACTGTGCTAATGTCTGTGCATGTGTATGCATGCATGGGCATATTTGTGTTAATGTCTGAGTGTGTATGGTAGTGTCTCTGTACGATCATGTCTGCTTGTGTTAATGTCTCTGTGTTTCTCTTTGTGTTGCTCTTGGACAATCCTCATCTCAAAAAGTTGATATTTTTGTAATGTTGTAAAATGTCCCCATTGCTAGATATGAATTGGCAGAAACAATCAGCAGCCATTCTTAATTTTCTTGTTAAATGTGTATCTTAATATGATACTATTTTTGTCATAAATTGTATACCATAACATTTGCAGTAGGTGTAATGTAGCTGAGGATAAGTGAAGGGGAAAATCAAACTTACGGCATGTCAAAGGTTCAAAAATGAAGCACTCATTAAAGGAAACCCAAAGAATCAGGAGAAGTTGTTTCAGTGCTAACTGTAAAATCAAAGTAAAAAGCATTAATTGCTGCTGCAGTCCTAGCCCTAGCATTTTCTGACTTTTTGGGGAATTAAACTATATAAACTCGGTGCTTCAATTTTCTTGCATTTAATGTGTATCAAATGTACTGTTCCTAGGGTAACACTTCAACCCCCCCTTACACCTGTAGTGAAGCTTTACACTCTTGGCCTGTCTGTTTCCATGAGTACTCACAGATTTGATTCTACCCTTTTGAGAACTTCATCCCCATTTGTCTCCTACATGCATTCAACATGTTTGAATCTGCCTTTCTCTGGAATTAGTTCAATCTAAACTTAACTTCTCTCACTTGCAGGAGCCAGATACAAGGGCTCTACTCCAAATTGTTTTTGTGATACAGGCATCTATCCACCAGGACCTGCACAGAGAAATCTCACATTATTACACACAGACCCTAGATGAACTGTCGTCATGATTTTTGTTCTGTGAAGAGGAAGTGTGGTCTACTGGTTAGCGCAAAGAACTGACCAACAGGACAGGTTCTAGATTTGGTGCTGCCACCTTGGACAAGGTTACTTCTGTGCCTTAGTTCTTCCAGCTGTACAAGAGGGATAATAATCCTCATGGAACTTGCCTGGGTGGTAAGGCATACTTAACTGTGATAATGGTGATGCTTGGAGATCCTCACATGAAAGGTGCTCTAGAAATGCAAAGAATTATCATTAGCACCATCCTCAATTGGATTTGAGCTAGTGACCGAGAGTTTGGAAGCTAGAGTATCTTTCCATATAGCTGAGGGAATGCTTGTCAATGGACTGCCATTTATCTACTCCCTGGAGATACTCATCAGGCTGCGCATGCTTAATCTTGATTTCCATAGTTCCTGATTCCTGACATAAATTAGGCCTCAGTTTTAACTTTTGCTCCCATGAGGTGGGGATGGGGGCAGAGGAAGGGACTACTATAACAAATTCTAATGCTCCAACAAATTTCCACAAATATTAAAGCCTATAAATCGCCAGCCAAACAAACCAAGTGATCTTTTCATAGGGTGGGGGAGAGAGGAGGATGTGAAACGCAGGTGCCAGCATTTGCTGGGGAAGAACTGGTACATT